TCTGCAGCAGTTGTCGGAGTTGGGGCAGAAGCTCTCGTTCCCCTGAGGCAGAGCAAAGCCGACCGGAGGAGAGAAAAAGACAGTCGACATCTCATCCAGGCTGTAACATAACTTCTGGGCTGCTGCTTCTGTTCGGAGATCAACTCCGCAAGTCTGGTGTAGAAACATCTTGCACTTGGTCCAATCCCACCAGAGGTTGTGAACACTAGAGGAGTGAAGCTGCCTTGATCAACGTTTTGAATTCTCTCCCCATATGCCCTTCTCTTGTCGTTCTCGTTCCTCCTATGTGCAGCATCGAGAGCTAGGTTACGGTGACATGCTGCCATGGGATCAAAAATCCTGATGTCGAAGAAAACTCGCTGTCCCAGCGTCCAGAATCCTCGAGCACTGACGTCCACACGGGCTTCGTTAGATGTGTTTGAAGTCCTGTGTTGGAAGATCTCACCATCCAATGGAAGGAGGGTCGGTTCTACCATGACATTCCGGCAGATTTCCTTCAACATATTTGCTGTGAGATCCCTTACCTCGTCATGCCTCATGCATATGAAGCCCCCCTTCTTGCACACCATGGCGTGATCGCCATCATAGGAAGAGCCACACACGCACTGGGAGGGCAAACCTTCTACTGGCCGACCGTACCTTAGAGCAATGGCATCTGTAAATTCTTGTTTATTAAGACTGAAACCATTTGCACTTATCGGTAACGTAGTTAACCAGTTCGAGGCGCCCACCTCCTGCGCTATAGCTATTGTTTTTGTAAAAATTTTCTGGAACCTGCAGCAATAGTTGCTGCAACATGTCATTTTGGCAGTGCTGTCGATCTGTCGTAATGGACCTACGAATCTTATTTACTTCGCTGGTATCCACTTCCCCTGTTGCATTCTGGGCTATTATGTGGTCCGTGAGGGCTGCCGTGAGCTTAAGTGAATTTTGATGTTCAGTGTCAGCAATCTCCTCTGGATTAGTTAGTCCCATCCCTCTCAGTCTTGGTGGAAGTGCAAGAAGTGTTCTTTCTGCTGGGGTTAAGTCAGGGTGTTTCACTAGTTTGGGAATGAACTTGACACTGATAGCTTTTTCCAGAGGGTGGAGGAGGGGTCCGATCTCAGGGATGGTATGCATCAGGTAGTTCCAGCGATGCTTGGCTCCATGGGTGAATGCTGCAAAAGCCGCATGTGGCTCTGTGTTAGCAATCTCAAACAGAGCTTGGATTTCGCTAACCCACTCATTCACCTTTCCCGCTACGTACTCGGTCTTGAAGTCCGTAGTGCCAATTACTGCGCCTAGATGTCTTTGGCCGTCCTTAGTTATTTTGACCTCACTTCCGCCAAAAACCTCCAATGCCCGTTCATAATGTTCTGGCTTCACGATGAGGAAGGACTTGCTGGCGTTTGGGTGGTACCCTATTTGTGGACCTCGCGATGTTACCAGGTCCCACCACTTTTTGATGCACTCCACTTTTCCTGCTCCTGCTACTACTTTTCTTTTAAACATGGCCTCCAACCTTCCCCAATAGCCACACCGTCAGCACCTAGCTTAGTTAGTTAAGCCCCATGTCTATGCGGCATTCAGTGACTGTTGCTTCATAGTCAATATCTGCGACCGTTATCGGCTTTGGGGGCCGAAGATCTCGTTCCCTTAATAGTGGGGCAGCTAAATGCAATTTTTCAAGAGAATCATGCAAATGGTGATACAAACACTAAATTTTGCATGGTAATTTTCTAATGGTTACTAGTCAAGTCTGCCTGATTGGCCATTTTAATATCCAAGATGGCCGCCATATTGACCTTCAAAAGTTTATTTTTCTTAGAGAAATTGATGTAGTTGGTCAATCTGAGTGATCTTGGTGTCGATATGCATGTTTTCAAGCATGCTCAGATGATTTTTAATAGTTTTAAGTCCATTGGAACATTTTTATCCACATAAAAAAATAACGTACTCACTATTAGCACTGGTTCCCTTGACTTCTCCTGACAGTATATCTTTGTGCATTTACTGCTGTTCACATATGCAGCTGCAAAGTGCTATGCAGGAAAGTCCAAAGCGAAACCATTTGCATCTCTGGTTGCAGTCTTTCTTACAGGAACATTTGGTCAGCTCCTGACAGCATGTTACAATCGGAGGAAGAGTCGTCCAACGTATCTGCCATGCCTTTCCCTTCTGCGTCCATCCCAAGTTGACAGGACTGCTGGTTTCTGGATTGGAAATTGTTGCCTGGCCCCAGATGATATCAGCCTGGTAGGCAGCCCGCTTTGCATGTTCCTTGGGGGCTGCCTGGGTTGGTGGAATGGAGTCATATGGTCTCTGTTTGCGGGAAAAGAGATTTAGTCTTGCCTCATCTACACCAGTGGCTGCACTAGATCTGTCGTACATGAGGACAACAAATCTTTCCAGCTTCTGCAGGTCAACATCAGCAACTGTTGTTGGACATTGGCTGAGTTTGGTGAATGTTTCTGAAACTTCATCACAGACATTCCATGTCTGCCATGCAGATTTCTTTCCTTTCCCACGGAAGACAGACACAACGTCACAGCCAGTAAAAGCATGAAATTATAGGATGCCACTCGCTTTCTTAGGCCCTATCGCAGAAACTACAACATGAACTGGAATCCATCGATGACTGGCTCCTTGGCCAAAGGCAATCCACATGTTATCAAGACCAAGCTCCTGTAGTGATGGCAGTACAGATACTGCTATGACGACCACGTCAGTGTCATTGGCTTTGATGATGAGGAACTTGCTACCTTCCATTGCTGCATCCCTAGCATGCATAAATATTCGTGTGCCTGCTTCCTTATGACAGCATGGAGCCACAGCTTCTAGGGACTTCTCTGTGTTGCTAATGGCATCTTCTCCCTTTGTCACAACCACCGTGCTGGTCCTTCATTCGAGTAGCATGAACATCGGGCGATCCAACACCCAGCTGCTCAAGTCTCTGTCTGTAGAGTGTGACCAGGTCAGCAAGTCTGAAAATGGGTGGTTTAGTACCTTCACTAGAAGCTTTCATCTGAGTGATGTAAGTGACCAGTTCAGAGAAAGCAGTTGGGTATGCGTCCTTGTTCGGATGAAGCTCTTGTGCCTCTTCTTGCTCATGAGCATTTCGGTGTGTTCTTTCTCGGTTGTACAGGTCTGCCAGGCAGCGAGGGTGATACTTCAGTTCTTGTTCCACAACATCTCCTGCACTTAGTCTGGCAAGGAGTTTTCCATCGCTAAGTGTCTTCGCACAATCATTCAATCTTTTATTAAGTTTCATTGTCATTGCATGTCTTATGTCATCTCCCGAAGCTTCTTCCTCACATAGAATTCATTCTGTTGCTTTGGGGTCTCTGACCATTTGTGGTATCTTGCTACTGCTGCTCTCCTCTGTAGGAACTGTAGAGGTTCGCCTTCTCTGAGCTCTATTTAACTTTGTGTTGTTGAACAGAAGTCTGCAACTCTCATGATACTGTGCCTTGTTTCTCCTCAAGGTCTCCTCTATCCCATTATCTTCAACAAGGCTTGCGGGGTCAAGCTTGATTGGCAGTGCATTGATTGAATGAAATAGAGGAATATTCCTTGCCAAGCTCTTATAACCGTCATCTCCTTTTTTGTCAGGATTTGCGTGTGGAGACTTAAGATCTTCCTTCTTATCCTGTTGACAAAGACAACACTTTGCCCAGTCAGTGAGGAATGATTTGTTGGTAGATTTTGTGTCCATAACTGTTTTGATCTTCAGGGCCGAGGGTTTATCCTTTTACCACCCTGATGAGCACTTTCTTGTATGGGATACAACAGGGTTCATGCCTTTTGCCTTACACCAAGTCCGATCGTTCATCCAGTGTCATTAGTCCCGTGCGATCTGTACACCATCCAGATAACTAAAACCCCGTTATCCTTGGCATGGCTCTCCCGCGCTGACACATCCTGTCAATTCAGGTGCGGCTGCTTTGATTTGGGGTTGGTTAATCAGCATTTGGGACACTAAGCTGTTGCAGTATGACATGCTTTTTCTTAGCTGACACTGAACCCCATGCTGGGTTGCACAGCAGTGATGTCACCAGTGTTCCCTGGTCGTGCCCGACAATCACTCCCTCACATGCAGAGACCCTCTGCATGCTACCCTCACCTAGATGGAAAAAACATAAAACCAGTACATAAAACCAGTCATAAATAAGATAAATATATATCTGAGAGTATCAGAAATAGAAAAAAATAATATGAGCATGCTTGAAAACATACATATCGACACTAAGATCATTTAGATTGACCAATTACATCAATTTCTTAAGAGAAAACCATCTTTCGAAGGTCAATTTGGCAGCCATCTTGAAAAATAGCCGCCATCTTGGAATTTTCAAATGGCCAATCAGGCAGATTTGACAAGTAGCCCTAGGGTATGATCAAGCCAAATTTCATGCTTGTATTCTATGTTTGTCTTTGATACCCCCAAAATGTTCTACACTACTGAGGGTATACACAAACACTTGTTATCTTGAAAATAGGTTCTTATTCTCGTACGGGAGATATACAGAGGGAACAAATAGACAGTCGGCTTCCACACCATAAGGACTAGCGATCTCAACTCTCTGTATCACTCCGCGCTGGCATGTACAGATGCCAGTATTCACAAGCTGAATACATAAAATGTAGATATGATAATTCACATACATAACATGGTGCATAATAAATGGAAATATTACATAGGATTAATACATGTTCTGTAATACTTTACTGTACATATTTAATAGAGTAATATACGAATACACAGCTTAAGGTACTACTTCGTGTCCATATTATACACTCATCACCATTTGCACGATTTTTCCATTATCCGCTCTACTATAAGGCAAGGCAATGCAGACCTAAGCAGAGAGATTGCCGCCGTCGCTGCCGCCGCCGTTACCGTCGCCATGACCACCACCACCAACACTCTCTTTCTCTGTCTTACACTTTCCCACTCCTCTCTCTCTCTCTCTCTCTCTCCTCCACCCTCTTTCTTTCTCACATTGTTCGTGCCCTCACAGAGTCAGCTGGACTTCAAGATACGTAACCCTGTTGGAGGCATATACCAAAACTGTCTCATCATAAGAGAACTTGGATTGTTGGACACAGACTGCAACAAACAGAGTTGCTCCGCCTGTCACACTACAGCGGGTAGTACCTGGACCTTGAGGAGCATCTGTGAGGAGGAAAAGGTGAGGACTGATGGTTGGGAGGTATCTGTGAGGAGTAAAATGCAAGGGCTGACGGCTGGATGGCATGAGTGTGAGAGAAGAAAAATTATTAACGCCTGTATCTCTTACAACTATGTCATGGGTCTTAGTCCTGGCCAGAGACACACGTGGGAACGGTGTTTTCCACTTTCTCCTTTACCAACACTGGACAGGACAACCCCCGAACAGCTAGTGGTGATATAATGATAAAAAAGGAAACTCAGCGAGTATGTACAATATGTATGCTGTTATTGATTATGTATTGCCACTATGTATAGGTATGTATTATGTATAGTTATACACAGTATTATGTATAGTTATGTATTATATAAGATGACTTAACCACTTGAGTATGATTATTTAACCTCTTGAGTAAGATAAATTAACCCCTTGAGTACAATGACCCTGTCCTCCGGGGACAAATAATTGTACTAAATAATTTAAGCTATTATACTTTAAGGGTTAATGTTAAAAGCAGAATACTCAAAGGGTAAAGCTAAATCAGCATATAGATAACGGATTAAGCCGTCATACTCAAAGTGTTAACCCACATATTTAAAGGATTAAGACATACTCAATGGGTAGACCATCATACTGAAGGGGTTAAACCATCATACTCAAAGGGTTAAACCACATAATTAAAGGATTAAAACATATTCTAAGGGTTAATATATTGTACTCGTTGGATTAAATCATTAAAACATCATACTCAAAGGGTTAAACCACATGTTTAAGGGATTAAAATATACACAAAGGGTTAATATATTTTACTCACTCGATTAAGTCGCTAGGATATCATACTCAAAGGGTTAAACCATCATACTGAAAGGTTAAGCCATCATGCTCTATGGTTTAAATAATTATACTCAAAGGTTTAAACCATCATACTTAAGGGTTCTAATACCACACAGCGCATGTACTACTTCGACCTGGTGGCCTTCCCACTCTACTTCCGAGGTTATGGTGAATACATGGTGGAGAAGGTGGGCGACGTTTGGACCTGGTATGATAGCATTACTAACATCACCAAGGCTGTCTTACCTGTACAGGAACACCTTAATTACCCCATCGGTAGACAGACCTGGGACATCAAGGTGAGTTTACTTCTGTTGGTAGATTGTGATGGAATTTTATAGTGACGTCAAATGTGTTCTAGGATAATTCGTTACTAGTTCAGTATTTACCTAACCTAACCTAACCTAACCTAATTCACCTTTCCCCTTTTAACAAACAGTGTTTTGACAAGAATCAATCAAAAAGACATACAGTACATTCATGCAAGAGTTAATACACCATACTTTTTTTTATACTATAATACCAAAGAGATGACTTGACAGACATACGTACTTCCAGGATCCAGTATGTGGACAAGAATCAGGAAAGAGGCAACTCACACTCTCACCCTGTACAGCTGGAGAATTTACCTGTACTGACGGCACCTGTATATCATTCGCTAGACGCTGTGATCTGAAATTTGACTGTGGTGACAAGACGGATGAAAGCTTCTGTGATATTGTCAACTTTCCAGGGGACTACAGGTCTAAACTGCCTCCTAGACCAGGTAAAATGTATAAAGGTTTATTGTGATTTAATCTTGTTTATTTTGTTTTATTGTTTCATGTTTAAGTTGTTTTACGAAAGATGTGTTTGAATGTAAAGATAAATTTTGTCCTGTCTGTACAGGGTATGTCTGTCTGTCTGTCTGTCTCTTATTCTTTTCTTTCCCTATGTCTATCTCTCTCTTTTCTTTTCCTCGTAGTGTTGGATCTGCCTGTCTGTCTCTCCAAACATTTTTTCTCTTCACAGTATCGAATTTCTGTCTGTGTCTGTCTAGCTGTCTGTCTCTTTCTCTGCTAACATCACTTCCTCCCTCACAGTATCGGATCTATCGCTGCCAATATCTGTCAACGTCTCCATGGACACTATCAATATTGACACCACCACCATGTTGATCTCTGTCAGCTACAACCTGCGTATGACCTGGTTCGACAATAGGCTGACCTACAACAACCTTAAGGCTCTCACTAGGCTCAATACAGGTGAGATTGCAACCTTTGCTTGACCTGGTAACTAAAACCTTTATCTGACCTGGTAAACCTACGCCACTATAGGCAGAAGTGGGTTAGATTAGATTATGTTAGTTTAGGTTAGGTCAGATCTGGTTAGAAACATTCACGGTGATTTAGAAATATCTCAAAATCATTCATAATGCTCTGCAATACTTCAAAAGCATACATAATACTTCTCAATGCTTCACAAAATCTAAAAATAAAAAATAAGTTCATAATGCTCCATAATGCCTGTGAACATTTATCATGCTCCTTAATTCCTAAAAAAAAAATATATTGCTAAAAAATACCCCAAAACATTCATAATGATCCACAATTCTTCAAAACACATTCATAGGGATCCACAACGCCCCCCAAAATTATCCACAATGCTCCACAATTTCTCAAAACATTAATAATGCTCCACAACGTAGCAAAACACATTTACAATGCTTCAGGAACATTGACGACGCCGTGGTCATCTTTACAGTGTCGCTGGATCAGGTCGAGCAACTGTGGCGACCGAACGTGGGGTTCATCAACACAGACGACATCCAACACACGGTCGTGGATCAGGGCGCTGTCACTACCATCATCAGAGAACACCCGCACTTTGTCCGTGACCTGTCCAACCCATATGAAGGTCTGTAGTCTCTCTATCTCTCTCTCTCTGAGTGTATGTTTGGGTGCATGTGTGTGTAAGTGCGTCTATGTGGGTGGGTAGGTGGGATGTAATAATAATAATAATAATAATAATAATAATAATAATATTATTATTATTATTATTATTATTATTATTATTATTATTATTATTAATATTATTATTATTATTAATATTATTATTAATATTATTATTATTATTATTATTATTATTATTATTATTATTATTATTTAGAAAATAATAACAATAATAATAATAATAATACAAATTTTCATAAAAACAAACGGTTTATTGAAAAGCACAACAGTCAAAGGATGAAAATACTCATTTATTATGGACAAAATTGACTTACAGTGATATGATATTGAGGAATAGATTGTCTAACAAAAGTTTTCAGTACACAACATAGACTAGCATAGCATAGCATAGCATAAAAGAGCATAACATAACATAACATAGCATAACAGAGCATAGCATAACATAGTTTTTAGAGTATTTAATCATCAGATGAAATATACTTGGGGTGGGGCTCATCTCATCTTACAGTGGAAGTCTACCGAGGGGACACCAACCCTGTATCAACCACGAGAAAGTACAGCACTGTATTTACCTGTAATTTCGACTTGGTACTCTACCCATTTGACATCCAAACCTGTTCAATGCAGCTACAGATCCAGTCTGCTTCCTCTGAGTATCTAATATTCAACTCAAATGGTGAGTATTTCGTCCTATTCATCTATTATGGTGAGTATTTCGTCTTATTTAACTTTTATGGTGAATATTTCGTCTTATTCAACTGTTATGGTGAGTATTTTATCTTAGTCAACTATTATGGTGAATATTTCGTCTTATTCAACTGTTATGGTGAGTATTTCGTCCTATTCATCTATTATGGTGAGTATTTCGTCTTATTCAACTGTTATGGTGAGTAATTCGTCTTATTCAACTATTATGGTGAATATTTCGTCTTATTCAACTGTTATGGTGAGTATTTCGTCCTATTCATCTATTATGGTGAGTATTTCGTCTTATTCAACTATTATGGTGAGTATTTCGTCATATTCAACTGTTATTGTGAATATTTCGTCTTATTCAACTGTTATGGTGAGTATTTCGTCTTATTCAACTGATATGGTGAATATATCGTCTTATTCAACTGTTATGGTGAATATTTCTTCATATTCAACTGTTATGGTGAGTAATTCGTCTTATTCAACTGTTATGGTGAGTAATTCGTCTTATTCAACTGTTATGGTGAGTAATTCGTCTTATTCAACTGTTATAATGAGGCATTTCGTCTTATTCAACTGTTATGGTGAGTATTTTATCTTATTCAACTATTATGGTGAGTATTTCGTCTTATTCAACTGTTATGGTGAATATTTCGTCATATTCAACTCTAATGGTGAACATTATCTAATTCAACTGTTATGATGAGTATTTCGTCTTATTCAACTGTTATGGTGAGTAATTCGTCTTATTCAACTGTTATGGTGAGTATTTTATCTTATTCAACTATTATGGTGAGTATTTCGTCTTATTCAACTGTTATGGTGAATATTTCGTCTTATTCAACTGCTATAGTGAATATTTCGTCTTATTCAACTGTTATTGTGAATATTTCGTCTTATTCAACTGCTATGGTGAATATTTCGTCTTATTCAACTGTAATGGTGAATATGTCGTCTTATTCAACTTTGATAGTGAGTATTTTATCTTATTCAACTGTTATGGTGAGTATTTCGTCTTATTCAACTGCTATAGTGAATATTTCGTCTTATTCAACTGTTATTGTGAATATTTCGTCTTATTCAACTGCTATGGTGAATATTTCGTCTTATTCAACTGTAATGGTGAATATGTCGTCTTATTCAACTTTGATAGTGAGTATTTATCTTATTCAACTGTTATGATGAGTATTTCGTCTTATTCAACTGTTATGGTGAGCATTTCGTCCTATTCAACTGTTATGATGAGTATTTCCTTGTATTCATCGAACGTAAGTGAAAATTTTATCATGTTAGGTAGCTTCAAATATATCAGCTGTCAGTGTAAATGATCTATGATATCAGTAAAGTAGACGTTATATGTAATCTTAGTAGTTGTCAGATGTCAGGAAAGGATATCAGATGTTAATGTTAGAGATATCATTTGTCAACATTGAAACGTAAGCACAAAAGAAGTCAAATAGAAGGCCTCAGAACAAAAGAAAATCATTTTATTTTAGAGACATCAGTTGTCAGCTTAGAAGACGTCAACACAAAAGGAAGTCAGGTATTTTAGAGACATCAGTTGTCAGCATAGAACACGTCAGCACAAAAGGAAGTCAGGTATTTTAGAGACATCAGTTGTCAGCATAGAAGAAGTCAACACAAAAGGAAGTCAGGTATTTTAGAGATGTCAGTTGTCAGCATAGAAAGATACCAACACAGGTATTTAAGAAACATCAGTTATCAGCAAAGAAGCACACCAATACAAATGGAATTCAGGACTCATCTCTGTACTCTACCCACAGATTCTTACGTCCAATATCTGGGTCAGAAGTTCCTGATTGAGTACGGAATTGGACTCATAGACCTCCAGGTGGACAACGCAATGCAGTATAGCGAGATGAAAGTCCGTATTGAGTTGATTCGACGCTATGGCTATGCTATGCTAAACATCTACATTTACATCCCTTACCCTTCTCATTATTAGCTATGTAACGCTCTTCTTCCGGCCAACTATATTTGAGGTGCAATGCTCTTTCGTTTTGTTGTGATATAATGTT